CCTCTCTTTTGCCCACATTTCCCCTCGCTCTAAAAAATAAATAAAATCTTTTTTAAAAAAGAAGTAAGACTTGCTTTTTAATCTCACCTTGGGCAGTTTATTTATGCTCACTGAACCTCAGTCTTTTCAGCAAAATGAAGGGGTCAAGCTTTATTTCTAAAATATCTTTAAACCCCAAAATTCTGTGCTCTATGTTTCCCTTTTCACTTTACAGATTACTCCATAAATATTGAATTACCTACTGTGCACCAGAAGCTGGTTATTCAGTTTTTAAGTATATGCTCTTGTATAACAGTGACTGCTATATTATGCTGAGAAAACTGCAATAGTCTAAGAATATTTCTTCTTGCCACTGCTAATGAGTTCCAATGAACAGCTCTCAATAAGTTTTTTGCATTTGCCACTGTGTTAACATACTATATTAACCAATTAGGGGAAGAAGATGGCAGAGTGTCTGTTATGTTGAAAATATAGAAATGGTTCTTTTGTTCCCCATAGTTTTTACTTTTTCTTCAGTTTGGTGACTGTGATTACCATTGTAATCATTTAATTTACACTTCTGGGAACAGAAAATAGATTGTGGCCTAACATAAAAAAACAAAAATCTATCATTTCGCTTTGGTTCTCGTCAGTTAAGACACTAACTAGGAAGCTCTTAGGTACTAGAAATTCTCTGTGTAGTCAAAGGAGAACTTCATCTATAGCTGTGGCTTCTGTTTGGCGGCAGCCCAACTCCTAATAAAAGTAATTTGGAGATAGCAAGTGCAAGAGATTATAATTAAAATAATGCTGGATTTTTGGTTTTATTTTAATGAGTCAATAAAATGGAGTTGTGGGTGATAGTTAACTTTGTTATGAAGATAATAAGTTGTTGCTGATTTCTTACTGGAGAAATTTGCTTGCCTCCCCCCACCCCCCGCCATTGTTTCCAGTATCAGCCATAGCAGCTTAAGTGTCTTAGGGAAGATCCAACTGCTGCTTTATCGGCATGGACTACAGCTAAGCTGTTTGTGTTCTTTCTCTCAAGTTAATAGGAGTAATAAAGATTCTATTAATTATTTGTAAGCAATCAATGTTTTTTAAAAGAAAGAATATGAATTTAACATTTTTAAAATTATGTCTCACCCCCCATGAGACATTTGTTTTCACATCAAAACGTTGTGAAATAGTATATTCCAAAGCTTTTAACATTTATATACTTTATATCATGAAAATGTATCATTCCAGCAGTGGTAGTAGCAATAGTAGTGATAGCAGCTAACAACTACTAAACATTTATTATTTGCCAGGCACAATTCCACTGACAGCTGTATTGAATTTTTCCAACAACCCTGTCAGGTAGAAGTGAATATTTTTCTAATTTCATAGGTAGGAAAACTGCAACACCAAAAAATTATATAACTTGCCATAAGTCACATAGTTAATAAGCTGTGGGATACTCACTCAGGGATATGTATCTTGGTCAACTTCCATGTGAATGAACCTGCATCAAAGCATTGTCTTCAGGGCTGCATGGAATTCCATTTTATGGGCGTAACAACTGATATAACCAACTTCCTGTTATTGGGCATTTAGGTTGTTTCCAATTTTTCTGTGATAAAACATTGCTGTGATAAACATACCACTCTATATCATTGCACATCTGTCTTGTTCTTTCCTTAGAACAAACTCCTATAAGTAGAATTCTTAGGTCACATTTTTGTTATGAGACTTTCATACAAATTTCCAAACTGGCCTCCAGGAAGATTTTTTTTGACCACTTCCATCAGAATGTAAATTTCTCCATGTCACCAATAATGATTTTTTTTCCTTAGTCTTTGTCTCTGTGACCCAGGGAGAATTGTATTTATTGTTTTATAAGATTTTTTCCAAATAGTTATTAGACACTTATATTCATAGATGGGAAAACTTCATTAGTGAATTGACTGTTATTAATTTTTTTGAGGTAAGGGTCTATCTATTTTTTATTAAGGATACAGTGTCATTATATATTAAGGACCTTAAGTTTTCATCATGTATGATGTAAATATTTTCCCTCAGAAAATTCACATAAAGGTATGTTAGTTTTATATGTGAAAGTCCCAAGAAGAACCTTTAATAAAAAAAGAAGCTCAGAAAATATATAGCCTATCCTGAGTAAATACAATTGAAAATGTCCTTCAATCACTAATAAGTAAAGCAAAATTAAGAGCTTACAAATAGGGAAGCCAATGTTAATAAGGGTAGTTGTTTGAAGTAGTATTGGGCAGTTCTTGGGTTCACCTCGATAAATGCTTTATTTTCATATGAACTGTGGATCACTTTTGCTTATCTGTAAAGTGTCTTCCCTAAGGTATTTTTTCTCTCTATAGATCTTGTAGAAAAGTAAATTCTCAGCTCATTTTCAAAGATTTGGCCTCTAAGGCAGCACATCTCAAAGGATGGATTTTTGAAATAGGCTGTAATCAGGGGCAATGAAACTGCCAACGGAGAAGAGATTTAGTAACAGTCATTTGACACTTTTTATTGATTGTCCAAGAGAATACAGAATCTCTAGACATTAAATTTTTAAATTTCCTTCCAAATATAAAGATACTTCATTTAAATTATAATATGAGTCTAATGCTTCAAAACCATTTAGGACTTGGTGTGATTTTAAATAACTTCGTTTAACAAGAAATTTATTGCAAGAAAATTATCTTCAGTGAAGACAAAGGCCTTTTTTTTCCCTTTCTTTTTTGGCTTGGGAGAAGAAGATGATGCTATTTTGGGGACAAGATTCCCAACAGAAGGGAATCCTTTGGCAGTTTTGGCACAAAAAACAAAAAACAAAAAAAAAAAAAAACCCAGCCTCCAGAGGAAAAGGGCCTCAGCTTGTTTGAAAATAGGGAGTGGTGATGAGCTCCCAGCGGAAAGGGTGTCCCTGATACTAGGGGCGGGTCACTACCAGACAGGGTGGGTGGAAACGCTGCTCTACAGAGACTGCATAGAGCTGATTCATTAGCGACTGATGTGTTTCGGTTTCAAGGTTCACTCCTTCCCCAGTTCTCTAGGGAGGATCAGTTACAGCTCTAAGGAAGTGATTCTGTTTTACTCAGGGCCACATTGTTCCCTTTGGCCTTCATTACAATAATGCAAATAATAGTAGTACTAATAAATAAAATATAAATTCTAAAACCCTTTCCCCTTTATTTTCTGGAAAGTAAGTCACAGAAGCATCTGCAAAAGTGATTAATGATTAATTTGAGGAGTAGTGTCATCTTTAGTTTTAAAATACTTTGGAATTCTCTTGTGGTACTGTACATCTAGAAAATACTTTCTGCTCTTTGTATTTATGAGGTGAGCGTGGATATGTATGCATATGCACGCTCATGTATTTAGCGTACATTTTCAAACTGATGTTTTCAGTAGAGGGAATTGTGATTTGTTTGAATAAATATATTTGGAAAGATCGATGACAAGCCAGCCTTTCCATCCATTTGTAATTACATTTGCAATTATGGGCAACATGGCTGATCTGTTATGGTTGGCTATAACATTCATGAAGGTTTAGCAAGGCCGGTAGAAAACTCAACCGTTTGACTCAAACATTTGAATATCCATTTCTCTTTGACTCCCAGTTCCCGGCAGTGGCAACAGTGGGTGGAAGAGTGGCAGGGGTCCCCATACACACTCCTCTAGAGACAAAGAATAGAACTGCTCCAAAGCAAAGTTTCTGTTCTCACTCATTCAATCAACAAACCTTAACTGAGTAGCTACTATATGCCAGGCGCAGATTTGTTTTCTGTGTTATTCCTTCAGCCAAATCCACTCCTCCTTGCAAAAGGCCTTTTTTTTCCCCGCCTTTCCCACAGCAGACACATTGTCTTTATGCTGTTGAAAAGGTTTGGGTCCTTCCTGCATGGAAACTCAAGCCCTCTTTCTCCTTCCTTGAATGCACTGCATGGGTGTAGTTTTAGTTGTGAAACCCTTTTTATCCCCTTAAAATAAATGCTTAGATAGAAAAGTATTTTAGAGAAAAAAGAAGAGATTATATCATGAGTGTTTTCTCTTGTTACTGCATACTTGTAAACATTTTCACGACTAGGTATTATTCCATTGTGTGCCTCAATTTCTTAGCATTCACCCAAAACATGGTTCACAATTTAGATTTGTTTCCTTAAGTCATTGTTTATGAACATTTGTAAGAACCTTCTGACAAATTGCCAAACCACTTTCGGACGGTTTGTAGCATCTTGCAGTCTCATTAAAGGTCTCTTTACTGTTCATTTCATAGCAGCTTTACCTTCATTGAATAAGAAAAACTTTAAATCTTCACTGGTTTTCTTAATTTGCATTTTTCTTATTACTAGTGACATTGGAAATTTTTTACATGCTTATTAGACATTTTTTGTTTCTTTTTCCTAAGTTGTCTGTTGTATGCCCTTTGCTTATATTTCTGTTGGAGTTTTTCTATTTTTCTTATTCACTTGTGTAAACTTTTTTTCATATTATCATTTTATCTTTAATATTAACATTTTGTCTTTCATATTTATTGATCAAATTTGGGCAAAAATCCCTCCAATTATATTATTTGCAATCATATTGTCACTTAGACCAGATAATTTGTTTTATTCAATGAGATCACCTTTATATCACTTTATATGGAGGTGGTTTTCAATGTTTAGTAATTAAGAATACATACTTGAGAGCAGAGTAAAGAAAATGTCTATTCTAGAAACTTATATAAAAGGGAGAATGTATAAGAGCTAAGTTGCAAGGGACCTTGGTCCTACTAATGCTTCCGTATCAACAAACTCACTTGTAATTCCTTCTCTATTGGATGTATGGCCCCGCTTGTGTGCTTATTCCAAAACTGTGAGATCTGTGCCCAGACAAAGAACTTCAGAGAGGTAATGATCTGCTTTGAAATTTATTGGATTCCAGAAAAAATTCTAGTCATTCCTCTTTCCCATACCTCAGTTTCCCATAATTCTAGGGGCCCTGAACACAGCCCTCAAGTGTTTTCTTTTTCCTTTTAGACAATTCTTCTTCACTCCAGGAAGACGAAGAGGTAGACATGGAGGCCATCAGCTGGCAGGCCAGCAGTCCGGTCATGAACGGACGCCCCGCCACTCCAGTGACCTCTGCTCGTTTTCCCAGCTGGGTCACTTTTGATGACAATGAAGTCAGCTGCTCTTTGCCACCCATCACCTCTCCTTTGAAGTCAAACACACCACCTATTGCATCTGTGGTCCCAGATGTACCTTATAACTCAACTGGTTCATTTAAGAAGAGGGAACGTCCCAAGAGCACTTTGATGAACCTCTCCAAGGTTCAGAAGCTGGACGTTTCCTCCTTAAACCACCCTCCTTCCATAGCTGAGACTCCACCTTGGAGGGCAACCAACCCTTTCCTGAATGAGACTCTCCAGGATGTACAGCCTTCCCCTATCAACCCTTTCAGCGCTTTCTTTGAGGAGCAAGAGAGGCGCTCCCAAAAGAATTCCACTTCTAGTACTACAGGCAAAAGCCAAAGAGATTCTCTCATTGTCGTCTACCAGGATGCCATCAGTTTTGATGACTCAAGCAAACACCAGTCACACTCTGATGCTGTTGAAAAACTCAAACAACTCCAAATCGATGACCCTGATCACTTAGGCAGTGCGACACTGCCTGATGATGACCCCGTAGCCTGGCTTGAACTAGATGACTACCCGCCTGGTTCAGCACTGCCCCCACTCAGGGATGGCTGGCCAATGATGTTAAGGATCCCTGAGAAGAAAAATATCATGTCCTCCAGGCACTGGGGACCCATCTACATTAAACTGACAGAGAGTGGTTACCTGCAGCTGTATTATGAGCAGGGCCTGGAGAAACCATTCCGTGAGTTCAGGCTGGAGAGCTGCCATGAGATTTCAGAACCTCGACTCCAAAACTACGACGAGAATGGCAGGATCCACAGCTTGCGGATAGACCGTGTCACCTACAAGGAGAAGAAGAAATACCAGCCCAAACCTGCCGTTGCCCACACAGCGGAGAGGGAGCAAGTGATTAAGCTGGGCACCACTAATTACGATGACTTCCTGAGCTTCATCCGTGCCGTTCAGGACCGTCTCATGGATCTGCCTGTGATGTCAATGGACTTGAGCACAGTTGGCTTGAACTACCTTGAAGAGGAGATTACAGTGGATGTCAGAGATGAATTCTCTGGCCTGGTGAGCAAAGGAGAAAACCAGATTCTCCAGCACCATGTCTTGACACGGATCCATATTCTTAGTTTCCTCTCTGGGCTTGCAGAGTGTCGCTTGGGACTCAATGATGTCCTCATCAAAGGGAATGAAATAGTTTCCCGGCAAGACATCATGCCGACCACCACCACCAAGTGGATCAAGCTCCACAAGTGCCATTTTCATGGGTGTGTGGATGAGGACGTATTCAACAACTCACGGGTAATTCTGTTCAACCCTTTGGATGCATGCCGCTTTGAGCTAATGCGGTTCAGGACGGTATTTGCTGAGAAGACCTTGCCTTTCACGCTGCGGACGGCAGCAAGCATCAACGGGGCCGAGGTGGAGGTGCAGAGCTGGCTAATGATGTCCACCGGCTTCTCCTCGAACTGTGACCCTCTCACACAGGTTCCCTGTGAGAATGTGATGGTCCGTTACCCTGTGCCCAGTGAGTGGGTGAAAAACTTCCGCAGGGAAAGTGTCCTGGGGGAAAAGTCTTTGAAAGCCAAAGTGAACCGGGGGGCCAGTTTTGGCTCAACTAGTGCATGTGGCTCTGAGCCTGTCATGAGAGTAACTCTGGGAACTGCCAAGTATGAACATGCCTTCAACTCCATTGTGTGGAGGATAAACCGACTGCCCGACAAAAACTCAGGTAGGTAGTGGTCGTCATTTATGAAAACCACCGCATGGCTGCCAACGAGTGGGATCCAAGTTCCACATCCTAGTTCCCTATGAAGTGCTGAGTTTTGCTGTGCGAGGGGAATGACGATTGAAGGGGAATGGGACAAGAAAAGCAAAAATATTTGAGCAAAGTAAGTAACAAACACAGATGACCCAGTTTACTCTATCTTTTCACCTCTTTAATTATCACACATCTTCCATAAAACTATGCATTATTCTCAGCTGAGCTGCTAAGCAGCTTGCCAGGACAGCTTATGAATGTATATTCCTTTCTGATTCATTAAAGTATTACTTATGGTGCTAGAAGCTATCCATTTCCAGATCCTAGAAGGCTCCTGGGTTCTGAAGAGGTCTTTTTAACTAAGCCCTGGTGTAGGTAAAAAGGCTGGTTTATGATGGCTAATCATATGTACAGTTACAGGTGAGGAGTATGTTTATAATTCCAGCCACTCCCTGAAAAGGCCTGTCAGTCAAAAGATCTCGAGCTCAGAGTTGGGATTTGGAAATAGAGAAGAGGAGAAATGGCCTCTGACCAGACTGAGGGTCCAGCCAGGATAAGCAGATCCATAAAGGTCAAATTCTATTCAACATAAAGTAAAGGAAGGAATGTTTGATTTAAACAGAAGAATAAAGGCCACCAGCCCTAGCTGGCCAGCTCCCAGCAATCAGGGGTGGTTTTGTGATTGCGTGAGCCCAGAAGGCCGTGGCTGTCCCTCGTGGTTTCAGAGAGATTTAATGAAACGAGAAAACGAGGGAGCAATGAAACCAGCTCTGATAGCCTTGTTTATGAGAGTACGTCTGGGGGACCTCAGCAGCGGGCGGCCCATGGTCTGGTGCCCTTTTAAACCACTGCTCTTCTTGTTTATAATCAACTTTGCTCGTCAGTTAACAAAAGTGAATATCCTAGACAAGCAATAAGAAGTTTTGGGAAAGCTCTCGATTGGCATGTCTTTTTTCTCTTGGGCAGATTCTCTTCTTTGCATTCTCACCATTAAACCCTGACCATGTGTTCAAAGTTTTCATTTCCTGTTCTGGTGGAGAGGCTGCGTTGTCCCGCTCTGCATATACTCTGATGTGATGGCGAGAGGCAACAGGACCTGGTCCACTCCCTAGGCGTTCCAGGCCGTGGTCACACACCAGGGCACCCTGTGTCAGACACGGGGCATGGCAGAGCAAACTGAAGAGACAATTGGACCTCTATGTCTGGGGATGGATTTGCCACCCTCTCATTCTAAACTGACAGAATTTTTAAAACAAAGCCTTTCTCTCTCTGCGTGCAAATTCATTTCCCCTGAAAGATCACTGTATTCTCTTGGTAGCTGCACTGTGATTTCTACCTCAGCCACAGGGCCCATCTGAATTGACGGAGGAAAGGAGAAACCCTGAATTCTTTGGCACAGAGGTCTTGGGGAGAGACCAAAGAGACAGGGAGAAAATTACTGTTTAACCTGCTAGACACTGACATGGGAAAAACAGGCCTTCAGGTTTATGTTTAGGTTTATTAGAATTTGTAGTTCTTAAATGTACTAGGGATGAATTCAGATAATTTTAAGTTGGAACTATTGGGTTTTTCAAAGTGAAAAAAGAAGGACACAGCTTACCCAAACCTCTCCATTCTCCATATGAGAAAATTAAGGGCCAGGAGGTGACATGACTCATCTGAAGTCACAAAGCCACCTCCAGGGGTCTTTTTGCAATACTACAGCTGCTTCTTCGTAGAGACCACCAAATAGACACGAACTTGAAATAATTTCCACTATGGGAACAGATATTTGCAGTTTCGCAGTGTATACATGCATATTTCATTTGTTTCCAACTTCTTTCTCTCAAATATTTCAAAGTACTACCTGAGAGGTTTTTTGTTAGAAGCAGCAAAGACTGACTGGCTACTTCAAGGGAAAACGTGTTGTGGGAGGCGTGTGGGTAGCTCAGAGAACTGAAGGAAGGGTTGCTCTTGGTAGAAGGAACTATGGGTGTCTCCTCAGGCTGTAGCCATAGGGACAAATCCCAAGCCACTTTCTGTTCTTATGCCACTTGGCTCTAGAGTCAAGGAGGACAGTGCATTTGTACTGTCACTGAGATGACATAACAGTGCTGGGGGAGATTATTTCCCAAAACGGGGGTGGGGTAGGGAGATTGTTATCAGAAGAAAGAAGAATGAACGCAGGACAGGGGAAAAGGAGGTCTTCAGCAAACACTTCCCTAATGCTTCCCAGTGGGGTGGTGTTCAGTAGGCTCAAGGCCAAGTAAATGCAGCTCATATATTACATATGTATTTCCAGATGACTGAGACCTTATTTGTGAACAGTTTTTGAAATACAGGAAAGCACAGGGATATCTGGGACTGTGTCTCACTTACATTTCTTGCCCCCTCCCACCCCAATTACTGCTTCTGCTGTCATGGTTAGATAGATTTAGAAGTGAAACCTCCCCAAAGGGCTACTTACAGAACTTCCGGCCAATGGTATTTTTCTGTATCAGTTTAGGAAATTGATAATACCCTTTTCTGGAAACTTGAGATGTATAGGATCAGAACTCCAGTGAGCCTGCATGTTCTTACTGTTCCTGGTACTCACTGTGCCCAGGCCGAGGCCTCCCTGTCCCCTGCCAAGAAACCAGAGAATTGATGATGATCTATTAGTAATTGTCCCCCCCACCTCCCGCCGCCAACTTTTTTTCTGAGCTCTTCTGACAGCCTTGGGAAGGTGCCTTTCTTAGATTATTTCTCATAGCCTCACACCTCCATTGACAGCGAAGGAGGCCTGAATCTCTGCATGCCTGTGCCCACCTGCCGTGGCCCTGCATCCCTAACCCCCAGAGCACAGAGCAGTCAGGCCACAGGCAGCATGTCCAGCAGGTCCACGCCCTGGCTCTGCTGGCACCCCAAGCCTGCAGCCACAGCAGCCGTGCCCCAATCCCAGCCATCACGACTAACAAGCTGCCCTCGCACCCCAACAGGGCTCCGCCAGCAGGGCCCGCCCCGCCCTGTACAGTCCCCACCTCTCTGCGCTTTGCCAGGCCCCCTCCCACCCTAATCCCAAGAGTTTTTCTTCATCCTGGAAGGCATCCGAACAAAGCACCAGTCCTCTCGCTTTCCCAGGTCCTCCGTCAGGAAACAAAGCATTCTGTCCCGCAGAGGTAGCTTGCTTTGCTGGAAATCCAGTTCTCATCAGATCAGGTGAAAACAAAGCAATCCCAATATGATCCCCCCTTTTATGGAAAATAGGAATCTGAATTTTAATGTTAAACTTTCTCAGATTCATCAAGGAATATGACATAATGCATGGGCTCATTAGCGCATTACTATAAATTAAACCCTACTGGCTTTCAAAATTGCACTTCCTATCTGTCCGCCACCCTGCACATCCATTAGTTGATGCTGGGAATCAAGAAAGAATGTTGCTTTCCAAGAGTCTGCTGTCACTACCCTTTGGTGGGCTGATAGAAGAGGGTCAGTTTTGTGGAAAATAATGATTTCTCAATATTTCAAATGTGTAAATAAGGGTCATTAGATAAAACTGTTCTTCAAGTTGTTATTTAATTAAATTAAGAAACTCCTCTCTATACTTTGTAGTGATTTAAATATATAGCAGTACATTGAGAGAAGTTTAGGACATAATTTGGAGTCAGTCAGATCTGAATTTTATTTCCAGTGCTGCAATTTAATGGCTCTGTGGCCTCAGACAATTACTTAAACCTCTCAAAGAAACCTCATTTTCCTCATCTATAAAATAGGGTTAGTAATACCTAACTCATTAAGAATGAAATTAGATAATGCTTTTAAGTGTTTAGCACAGTCCCTGGCCTGTAATAAATGCTTAATATATGATAGCTATATAATTACATCTGTGGTACACAATTTTTTTTTAAATTGAACGGATTCATTTGTAAATATTATAGTTTTTACTATTACATGTATCTTAAATTCCTTTCCTAAAACCAGTGCAAACTTATCTATTAATTACCTAAAGTTTTACTCTTCAGAAATAACCACTGAAATAGCTCACATTTGTGAAACACAGCAAAACAAGTACTTCACTCTGTAATGTTTTCCTTGGAGAGAGGGTGTGTATAGCCTCACTCTCTGAGATTAAAAAGTCCTGCCCAGACCAATAAAACAAATTGGAATTGTTTGTTTGGGAAAACCCGGACAACTAAGGGCTGTTTCAGTTATGTCATGAAATCAAAGCCCTGTACGGTTGTTTACCCACAGCGAGTTGCTATACGGGGTCTCTTGTGGCTGACTTCCCCTTCAGACCTGGTCACCCTGCAAACCTGCTCTTGAGGTTTGGGAACCAGGAGGTTATGACTCAGAAAAGTGGTGAAAACCATGTGGAGTCAGATACAGGGTTCAGTTCTTAGCTCTGGTACTTTCTAGTAGAATAATATTGTGACCTCCAGGGACTGTTACGAAGAGGCTGCGAGAGAATCTGCGCAAAGCATTTAGCGCAGAACCTGGCCCAGGGTGCTCAAAAAATGCATCCTACTATGTGACATCTGATGAATTACGATGACGACAGAGCTTCAAGAGTGAGTCACAGAAATAAGCTCTAACTCTTTCCCCTCAAATACCTAGTAATAATTCTCAAATGAATATCAGACCTTAAGTGTGCCATTCAAGTGCAGTGGAACGAGCTGTAGATTTATAAAATTAAAGAACAGGAAAGGACCACGCCTGACGTGGTCCAGCCCACCCTTTCCTAGATGAGGAGTTGAGGCCTAGAGAGAATTCGGGACTTGGGTGCGGGATCTCTGCCACTTTGCAGGAGAGCCGGAAGTCAAACATGGGGATCCGGACTCAGTCTGTGTGCTCTCCGGGGTACACTATGCTTCCCTGATGTAAGTGTGCTTATAAGGCCTTCATCATTTACATATGCCACCCCCCCCAAAAAACATGGCAAAACCATTTTTTAAAAAATAGGAAACGCTATTAAGAAAATTCATTTATCTTTCAAAGGCAATCGGTGATTGTGCTCCAAGTAGCTGTCACTGATGTTTTATTAGGTGCTAAATGCTGAACCCTTTCATTCCTTTCTGCCAGTCTATAGCCTCCATGTCTGAATATTTGTTCTGTGTTCACATATCGCCCTGAGCTGAGCAGGCAGGGTGACCTCTGGCTCTCAGGCCATGGTTCTATTGCTAGGATACCAGGCTACTGTAATTAGATAGTGTTGTGTCAAAAGGTCGGAAACACATGCGGTACAATTTCTGCAGGGCCAGATCCTCTGCTCAGCGCGGTCTCTCTGAGAGACTTCCGGGCCTCCTTTGTTTCTGAGGCGGCTCTCCTTGCGCTTTCTTCCCAAAGAACCTGATCAGTACATTCTCTCTCTTTGTTTCATAGCTTCCGGTCACCCACACTGTTTCTTCTGCCACCTTGAACTTGGCTCTGACCGGGAAGTGCCTTCCAGATTTGCCAATCATGTGAATGTCGAGTTCAGCATGCCCACAACTTCTGCCTCCAAAGCTGCTGTAAGATCCATCTCTGTGGAAGACAAGACGGACGTCAGGAAGTGGGTCAATTATTCCGCACACTACAGCTACAAGGTAGCCTGGGGAGGCACCTGGCTAAGGTTCCCAAGTCTGTTTGTTCACCCCCATTCCCGCCCCCGTCTCCTTCATTTTCTTAGTGCCTGCTCTGGGCGCAAAGTGTTCTCTTACTGCCTTGGAGGTGGTTCACCACGGTACACAGCTGTGGATGAGTCTGCTGTGATTTTAGCGGGCAAGGGAAAGGTTGGAAAAAAATAAAGAAGCTGATGAGAGAGCAGAATATAATGTCTTTCGGTCATCATAAACAACAACATACAAAAGAAGAATGGGGTAAAAGGCTTCTTATTACTCATCCATAATATGATTCATGTTGCAGAGCAGTGAACTTGGAAGTTGAAGGGACTGTCAAGAAGTGCTAACCCAAAGTGTAGATTTCTGCTATAGGAGTTGAGGAAGTGGGTCCAGGTAAAGTTAGGACATAGCCGACCTGGTCACTGGGCTGTAACAGGACAAATCTCAAAAGCTGAACCAGCTTCCAGAATCGTAACCGGATCAGGGCTGTGGAAGGAGGGAACCAAGTTGGACTGCTCTGACCTGAATGGTGACTGTGTTCTGAGGAGTGAGAGATTCAGGAAGCAGGCATTAATGATGGAAAATGGAAAGTTATTGAAGAAGGATTTTATAAAGCAGTTTAATAATTTTCTATTCATAATAGTATCCTTAGATTTATATGGTGATTTATTGTTTTTTAATTGCTTCCTTAGTTGTGTGATCTACCAAAAAGAACAAATACTCCCTCTTGTGGCCAAAAAAGTCCAGCCAATTCAGCTTTTTTTCATCTCCTGGTAGACATAATTACTAAAATTCTGTGGCACACCAAAAAATATATTCTAGTTTTTGCTGATTGGGCAAAAAAAGTGGTATAATTTTGATTCATTCACACTGGACGGCTCTTGATGTGTTGGCTATTGTCATTTTTTTTTAATTTGATAATCGAAGGGAAAAGAGGTCAGCACCCCTGACTAAGTAGTCAGGTATTGCATGTTTTAAAAATTCTTGTGGCACATCCATTGAAAATCACTGCCCTAGTCCACTGTTCTGTCCTGAATTTTTCCCCTCATCATAAATATCCAAACTGGTGTTGAGGGAAGCAACTTTACTTATGAATCTCCCTAGCTTGAAGGATTCCTTGCCTGACCTATAAAAGGCTGCCATTGAAATGTGTCACTTTCAAAGCAAGATTAATTTCTAATTCCTTGATCATTACAGCTACAGTATTTTGCAGACAATGAGTAGGACTATAAACACTACAATGCTTTGCTTGGAAACTTTTTAAAGAGATAAAGTAATGGAGAGTGTAAGCAGCCACTTGCAAAGGAATTCATTCACTTATTGACTGTGTGATTGCCTGCTGTGTGTCCACGTTACTGGGATACAGCAGTGAATAGGGCCAGCCCCTGTCCTACGGAGCCTGTGGTAGGTATAGCAGGACTGGGCGAGTGTATTGTACTACAAGGTACAGTGGGAATATGCACAGGGGAGCGCCTAACTCTACCTAAAGAGTCCAGAACACCTTCACGGAAGAGAGGATCTTTGAGCGACTGTGGAAGGCAAAGAACAGGAATTTTCCAGGTGGACCGTGAGGGAGACGGAATTCCAGACCAAGTGCAGAGTAAGTACAAAGAGAGAACCATAATAAACACAGAGCCAGTAGCTCCAGTATGGCTGACACCCAAAACATCACAGAATTACAAGGAAATCTCAAAGAACCTAAACTTAGCAAGGAATTCTCTTTTAGTTTACGTATTTCTTGGGGTAGTTTTTCCTCTTCTTTCTGATATTTCTCTCCAACTTCTGTTCTTTGGCAGGTGGAGATGGAGCAAAAAAAGAGTTTGAAGCCAGACTTTGAAGGAGATGAAATGGAAAATCCCAAGGAGTGTGGGGTCCAGTGATGAAGCCCTGCTGAAGGGCCCTGGATCTAGAGTCACAATAGGATATCATCCTGAATAGCTCAAGTTCAAGTCAGTCCTTACCACGGCTCCGTCATGTTGGAAACAGCGTACCGGACCTTCCTGTGTGTAGCTGCCTGTACCGTAACAGGAAACCCCGAGGTGGTTGCTTTGGAGAGGCCCTGAGAGCACCTGCCGCACCTGGTTCCCCTGACTCGTGGAGCTTATTAATTAAGCCTCCTCCTCTCCGCTCTGCTTCTCTCACAGCGCTTGGGTGTGGTTTGTTGAGACTGTGAGAGTCAGGAAAAGAATCTCCCACATCGGTGCTGGCATGATTTCCTTCTGATGTTCTTCTGTCACTTACCTGGATTTCTGGAAAATATAAATCTTGAGAAGTTAATTAAGCACCCATCTCTGTCACTCCCTCTAGAAATGGTTCAGCAAAGGTACAAAACAAATTTCTACTTTACGTTTCTTAGTCCTTTCATAGGTGTCTCCATTCTTTAAATATTGACACTATGCAGTAGAAGTTTTTGAAACGTTTCCCTCCTGGTTCCAGACTGTTTTGATTGAAACAATTTTTCCATCTAAGGTTCCAGTCACAAGGTTCACCACCCTGAGTCACAATAGACAGTGGAAAAAAGGACATAAGAAGATACTTTTTTATTCTGTGATTAGCCCCACACTCTGCAAAGGGGAAGCAAAATTGAGCTTATGTTTCTTCATTCCGGGAAAGGAGACATTAATTGTAAAATTACATTCAGTTCAGGAGACAGCTTCAATCTCAGTGAATTCCCAAATCCACACTGAAAAATATAGACCATTTCAGATTCCTGAAACAAGTGGATACACACACACGTGCACGCGTGTGCACACAGACATACATATATACGTGTATATATGTTTAATACCTCAGGCATTTGTCATGGTCATTTGGGAGCTCTTTTTATACTTCATGGCCAATAGTGCATGTCTCTGTAAGTCAGACTGTACAGGAAATGTATGCTGAAAAGATTGTTTAAAAGTTATTTCAAAACTAAGCTTGTATGAGCTTTTCCCAGAAATTCAGAGTTGGATAATCACAATATTGTAATAGATCTAAAAAGCAGAAGATTCTGGGGTACAGATGGTGGGAAAGCCGTAATGTTTTTTCTTTTTTAATGTTGGGAACATTAAATCCTGATTCTAAGAGTCTGGGACACTCAATTTTCTTTACCTTCACTCATTCTCACTCACATTCTGTACCTCTGCTTCTTATTTGTACATTGGTATTTTGTTGCCATATAAGAAACTACATCAACCATCCCAAAAGGGATACCTGCTCAACAACTTAAAGGCAGCCTCTATCTGCCTTTCTGCATCTCCATGAAAAGTAGAATGGCGGACAGAGAGTGCACTTATCAGGTTTGTAGAGGACACTGAAATAGACATACGTCTAGTCTGTTGACCAGCAGATTCAGGATTAGTTTATTCAACGAATATCCATTGAATTCTAACTATGTACTGACACTAGCATATAAAAACCATTATTTTTTTCAGTCTTATGCTCAGGTATTTAAAAAAAAAACCACTTTTTGAAATACCTGAGCGTAAGACTGAAACGAAAAATATGAAATTGAATAGGCATTAATGAGAAATTGAATAGGCATTAATGAGAAACTATATTTTGAGTTTTCGTAAATGCAATCCTCTACGTACAGCGTGGTATATGTGGGTGTATGTGTTTGTGTGTGCATGTGTGTTGATGGGAAGGGTATTGGAAAGTCCTGGTTTCATAGCAGTGCATGTAGAAATGTTTTCTTATGGGAATAATTCAATTTTGAATCAGGAGTATATTGTGACTGTTCACAAAGTTATTTCAGTCAACCTGTGTTAGTAGAAGACCAAGGAGCTGCATTGGTAAGTCCACATCTGGATGGAGGTTTGGGTTCAGTTCTGGGTACCGTATTTTAAGAGAGACATTAATAAACTGATTGCATCCAGAGGCAGGTGACCAGGGTTGCAGAGGGTCAGATTATATAAGAAACAGGGAAATAGATCCCCTGAAGAACAGAAGGTGTAGCAGGAAAGGAACACAGAAAAGGAGGAAATGATGTAATATCTGCATTGAGATTTCTGCTGAGGTAGAAAAAGGGAGAGGACTTAGACTTACTCTGTGTAGCTTCTAAAGGCAAAAATAGGAACAAAGGAGAACTTTATACATGACAGATGTTTGCTTCAATATAAAAAAGAATTTTGGAATAAGAGTTGTTTTAAAAAGGAATGGACTCAGGTAGCAAAGTTTTCTGTTGCTGCAAATGTCCTAACAAAGGTTAAAATAACGATCTATTCCAGATGCTATGAGAGGGACTCTTGTATCGGATTTGAGCTGGGTGACCACCAAGGTCCCTTCTACATATAGATTTTCTCTCAGTAGTAATAGGATTCTCTAAGCCTAGCTGTTTTTACTTCAATGCATGGTTTTTCATGCTCTTTGAAATATAGTGGGGTCCCCCAGAGAGCTTTGTCCTGTGAGGGCCCCGAGGCATTTCCCTTCCCCTCTTGTACTAAAGGCACATGAGATTCCTCATAGAAACATCAAGATGAGCTGAGGAGCTGGCAAGGTGAAGGTCATTTCAGCACCTTCCTTTCCCAAGGTTCGCATCCATACACCCTCTCAAGATCTCTGCCTCACCTGTGAGCATCACATGTGTATTGGCTTTTGGACCTTTTGCCCTCACTTGGTTAATTGTCATTGCCTTCATGCTTTCAGCTGGACTTTTTTTTTTTTTTAAACCAAGTGCTGGGAAAATCTCTGGTTTGCTATTTTTCCCTTCAGCAAACAAATTATTATTAATTTTTAAAAACTTACCACCTTGATTTCATCAAATTTGTTTTCCCTTTATTGTTTTGGGAAACTGATTATGGGTAGCATTTAGGGATTTGGGAAATATAATACTATATATTTCCAGACCTAGTGTTTTGCTGACAGCCTACACAGAAAACACAGTTGCAGGTTACCTTTTTGATGTGCAGGTTCTAAGTTTGTCACCTGTACCTGGATTTTGTGGGTGTGGTCACAAATAATTCTATGTTAATAATGTGAAAATGTTAAAAGTGAATTCATTTTATCAATACACAGTATTACTATTAGAACGTAAATTATGTGTCACATATCAAGAGCTGTGCTTTTTCTTTTTTCAGTCTAGTGGTTTGCTTTGTGACTTTATAGTAAGAGCATAAGAAAAGTACTCATTATGATATGTCAAAGAAGAGGACATGAGGTCTTTTGTGGGGGCCAGTAACAGCCCTGTGCCACTCTTGTAAACATAGTACTAGCTACTCCTTATGAACATTTTGCCTCTCACTTATAGTAAATATTATCTGGAGAGTTATACTTTGTTTATTTGTTTTTGTTTCCCCCTCTCTGCTTTCCTACATCATTGGCAGGTTCATAACCCTTGAGACCATTTTTTAATGTAAAATATATCTTATTTGAAATAAAAGTAATTTCTATTCAAATTCAGTGAGTAGGTGAGGGTGGGAGTTTATTTCCCTAGAAATTCACATTCCCAAGAAATGTGATCCATGAAGGCAAGGAATGTATCTTAATCATTGTTTCCAGCACTTAGCACAGAGCTTGGAAAGGAATAGGTTTCAGCCACTTCAAGTCCTTGCTGAGAAGACAAACGTATATTAATGAAATAACAGGAACTTATTAGGTAGTCCATAAATGTTTGCTGAATGCATACTTACTCCAAGACTCTACTTAACCCTTACTTACCATCAAACACTTATATTAAAGCAAGCAAGCATGCTTTATTTCCTGGAAGTCTGAAATAATTTTTCTTCCCTTTTATTCCTGCCAGTACTGTCAACTAATGATGACCGTTGGCACTTAAGCACTTAATATGTAGCTAAATTAAAACTATAATGTACTTTATTCATTACTGAAAAAAATGTTGTGCCCAAAGGTACAGTAACAGATGCAGTCCGTAGTCAAGATGATTGATTCAGTTTTGTTCCTGTAAGTCAGACAGATCTTTGAGCCGGGGCCTTGCACATTAGAGACAGAACACAGCCAGTGTTGGTGCCCTCGGACTGTCTTCCTCAACATCAACCACTGACCAAGGTTCCTGTGTATTTCTTTTGTCGCCGTAGTAGGGTAGAGGTCTGAGAGAGTAAGGCCGAAACCCGTGAAACAAAATCATGATTTCAGAGCTGCTTTAAGTCTCATAAGTTTAGTGGTAGGAAAGCAGAATGATCTGAATATTAAATTGATTGGAGTAGGAAGCCCTGCCATCCAGCCTGCTTTTAGAAATCCTTTCCAGGTGGAAGGTAACTGAGCTCTTCTACAAACGATGATGGTAAATTAGTTCTAGCATATCTAGGGTTTAGGTCATGTTAAGAATGCAGTTTAACAGGAAATTCAAACAAAACTGACAAAAAATTAAATCCGCAAAAAATATCCTCTAGGAAAAGAAGCTTCTCTAACATTTCACTACCAAGTCCCATCCAAACCATGACAGCTCTCTCTCTGTAAACCCAGCTGTGGCCTTCTCACCAAGTTCCGAAGGTGTTTCCTAAACATCACCGAGGTCTAGTTCCCTACACGCCACCATTTCTTCACCATTTCTTTCTTATGCTCTTTAGAAATGAAACTTGCTTTGGATATTCTGACTCACACTTACGTATTTAAGGAATTAAAAATGAACAAGATGTTTAAGGCAGTCATAAATGTAGAAATAAATGTGTGTATTGGTAATGTTTTCCTTTGTGTTGACTAAAGCAGGAAAATGGAATTTTTACATTTCTTCTAGTGTGCCTTAGCAAATCTGATTGTGATTCTTGTCCTTTGTTTTTGTTTTGAGAATTGAAAAGAAAGATATCTCTGAACTTGCAATTCCAGGTCTGCAAAGAAACTATCTGTAGTAATAGGTTCAGGATTACCTGAAGAGAGACAGGGAACAGCTGTATGTAATGAAAAGCTATAAAGGAACAGACTAAAAAAAAAGTAGAGTTTCAGTATAAAAAGATACTGATATTGAAGATGAACTGAG